GAAAATCTGGATTCAAAGATTGCTTGAAACATGCAATTTAAAGTTTGTAGGCTTAAAGTCAAAATAAGATTGTATTGTTGTATATGCATTTAATGCCTTCACATTACTAGTTTTATCCATATATAGCTGTTGTATTATGAGAGTTCAGTGCGTGGAAGAGAAGAAGAAATAGAGTGCAAGAGTTAAAGAGACAGAGAGAGAGTTTTCTCCTTATTCTGTAATTTTTCTCAATAATTTATAAAGTTCATTTGTTTGTCTCCAAATTTATCTCTTTGAATTTTATTTTAAGCTACCATAAGTAGTTTGAAGCCCCTCTCCCACTAACAAATGGTAAATATGATACACACCCTTTAGCATTACCTAAAGAGGACATGCTCTATTTGAAATTTTGTGATTTGACTCTTGTATCAATTTGATTTATGTAATATCAACTGTGTCAAATTTTTCCTTTAATATTGCATTTTAATTCAATTTATAACACTGGTTAATAAGTTGGATATAAATCAATACTAAAATAATTTCCTAAAATGAAAATGAATTATTTCAAATTAAATCCCAACCTCTCAATCAATTTGAAATTATGAGTCAAAATATTGGATGTTTTGATTTGGAATAAAAAGACAAGAAGCCACGATGAAACTTCACCAACAAAAAATTATTGATTATTAACAATTTGCACATTAAAAAATTATGAAGACAAATTTAAAAAATGGAGACAAATAATTATACTCATGTAATTTCAAATTAAAAAATAAGTTCAAATATTTATATGTGCATTTTCAAAAAGAAAAACTAAAGAAATATATTTATATATGTGCATTTTCAAATTTAAAAATAAAAATAAATAAATATTTTTATGATTTTTCAAAATAAAAATAAAACATAGTTACATCTTGTTTTATGAAAAAAAAATATTGGGTCTCGAAAAAGTCCACCCCTAATTTATCAACAATGAAATAACAAGTTTCATGAGCTTCTAATGAAATAACAAGTTTCATGAGCTTCTAATTTATTACAAAGTTAATTTTGTGCGGTCAAATTCTATTATCATATCATTGTAAATTAGCAGTTGAATTGTGCGATAATTTTTTTTAATAACAATATTTTATAAAATTAAGTTAAATTATATATATATATATAAATATAAAATATTTTTAGAAATATATTAAGACGTATGCGTTATAAAAGAATAATATTAATTTTATTATAATATAAAATATAACATAAATAAATATATAGTAACTTTAGTTGAATTATTTATGTATATATCTATGTATGGATATGTCTAAAACTATTTAGAAAATATATCATGAAATATGTGATGCAATTTTCATTCTGTCGAATTATGAAAGTGTATTTTAAATAAATATGTATATATGATAATTTTAGACTAAATTACTATCACTACAGGAAATATCTATTTTGGAGGCGTTTTTTTAATGGCGTTTTTGAAAACGTCACTGTTTCTAATATTTAACGACGTTTTTTAAACGTCACCTTTTCGTTTAATCAAAAACGGCACCGTTTCATAAATAGAAGATGCTTTCAAATGGTGTTGTCCCACGCGCTCCTTATCTCCTTCTTTTTCACCTTTATTTTGAATCTGATAAGCGAAAGTGAAAATCTCGAGCTCTCTCTCTCTGCACTGTCTAAGATCTTTCAAAATCGAAGTCAGAGCCATTTCAAAGATCTCACCTCGGTGATTCATCAGAGCCATTTCGAAGTTCTCTCACAATCGATTCAGATCGGTGAGCTCTACTGCTGTCTAAACCCTAATGATCTCAGAGATTCAGATCGGTGAATCGATTCAGATTGGTGAGCTTTACTGCTGTCTAAACCCTAATTATCTCAGGGATTCAGCTCGATGATTCAGAGATTCAGCTCGGTCTTAGCGAAACAGATTGGTGATTCATCGGAGCCATTTCAAAGTTCTCTCTCGAAATCGAAATCGAAGTTCATCTCAGCGATTTAGATCGGTGAGCTCCACTGTCTCTCTGTCTCTGTCTGTCTGTCTGTCTGTCTCTCTCTCTCTCAAGCTGAACTAATGGTGCAATGTCGATTTGGTTATTGAAATCAATCCTGTGAAATTCTATGAATGGTTTTGATATTTGAATGTTGATGTCCTGTTGTTTCTTCTCACTGAACGTGTTGATTGTTTGTTGGTTCATATTTTGTTTCTGAAAATATTTCATTTTATGCTGCTTTTGAATGGTTTTGATATCCTTTATGCTTGTTCAGCATGGCTATTATTCTCTAGTTGGGACTGGATTGTTTGTGGCTTCATTTACATTGCTCTGTTCTGATAAATCTTATTGTTCTTTTATATGCAAATGTCGTATATGTGTGGATCTTGTTCATCTGTTGGTACATCAGTTGTTGTCATGGGTATGATAAAATAATAAGATTATAAAACACTTGAATTATTTATATTGCAATATTTTGGGTGTCATCAGTTTTAAGTTTTAACCAGTTTAGATCTGTGACAGTTTCTAATTGTTATTTCTCTTCACTGATCGGGCTAAAGCAGAACTAGGGAGGTGGATAGTGAAGAACTGTTGAAGCAGTTGCCTGCTTTGCAGCAGCTGCTATATTGTCTCATTGAATGCCGGGTACTCTTCTGAAACCTCAAGATTCAGATGAATATATTTAAGTTTCTATTTTTTAGATGATCTCTATCTAGGGATTTAGACTGTAGTAAAACATGTGAATGAAATAAATGTTGCATTTTACTTTACAGCCTGAAGGAGTAGCAGTTAGCAATTACATTTTCCAAAAAAAGTCGTCCACAGAAAATGTCCTCCATACACAGCAAAATGTTTATATTAGTTCTCACAAAGAGAGTAGAGAAATGAAGGTTATGTTCTATTGGGTAAATCTATAAAAAGAACAAAGAAAGAGTAGATGGTAATTTTTTTTGAGAATGTTACTTCTTAGTTTGATTCTCAATGTTGAATTAAATATAAACTATAAGGACCATAAGGTAATGGAAAGAAGAATAATAACATTCAATTTTATATGTATATGGACAAAATATTTGCTGCTTTAAATTTTGGATTACTTTGTCCTTTTTCTTTCACTTTGTTGAGAAAAGACCATACTTTGAACATTTCACTTGTTTGAAATTTGAAACCATGTCTGTGTTGTTACCATGTGTACATGAAAGGTGATGTCTTGAACTTGAATCTAATCATTCAGCTGCTAAGTCAAAAGAAGATATATGAATCCCAATAGAATGAATTAGTCATGGAACCCATAACATTTCTAGTTACTTAGATGGTACATACATTTCAAGAATCTTGTAACTGAATCACCAATGTCAACAAATAGATGGCTTTATTTGCATCATCATTAGATACAATAAAGTACAGTCACTACAAATATTCAGGTGTGCACAAAACAAAACAAATTTATTTAGAACCAACATTGCTTATTTGCTTCAGAAAGGAATTGGCTTCTCTCATGTTGAAAATCCAACTTGAGAGAGTATTTGGCATTAATAGGCCTATTGTGAGCTAAATCTTAGTGATCCGAACTGTTTACTTTTTAAAACTCATTGAAAAGAATATTTATGTAAAAAATTAAGATAATTAAATTTCGGTAGCTATATGTTTGATCACATTTGTCTTTAAAATTGGACGGTTATTCTTGAAATTATATTTACCGTCCGTTTATTTAAGTCAAATGTGATTCAAACATATAATTATCAAAATACAATTATCTTGATTTTTTACATAAATATTCTTCTCAACAAGTCATAAAAAGTGAACACTTCAGATAACCGAGATTTGGCGCACAATGAGTCTACTAAACCCAAATACTCTCTCAAGTTAGTCCCAATATGAAAGAAATCAAACCCTTTGTGAAATGTTTGGCACTGCCCCTTAAACAAGAACAACATGGCCTACTACCAACTAGCTATTTGGTGGTTAAGCAATATGGCCACGTAATGTTTCAAGAGTGTTGCGATTGATAAAAAAAGTGAAATCTACGATTTTATATTAAATTATGAGAAAATAGCAGGAAGTCTGATGATCGGTGATTGGTGAGAGGCATGTCAAATGGTGCTCTTGGACCACCAAAATTTGTTTCCCCCACCACCGGCCACAAAACAAAGGAAATGAAATCAAATAGGGTTCAAGCTTTGTTATTAGTGATAGAAATTGTTGCCTGCATGAGATGGGTGTTTAATTTGGTTGACGAGGGTGGTTATAGAAAATGATCAAATCTTGTTATGTGGTTTTGTTGTGAACGATTGCTATTTTATAGTTGTAAAACCATTTTTCTAACGCAAGACACAACGTTGATTATTTTTTATTTCTTTGATCTGTTTTCTAGTCCCGATTATTGGCTAAATTTATGAGAATGAATTTTTTCTTTCTTTGCTTTTAAGATCTGCATATATACATGCAATTTAATTTGTCTATTTATGAATTATACGATGTATAAAATATGTGTTATTTTGTTATGATCAAAGCAATCACTTGATTTTCTTTTTGGTTGTCAAGTTTTACTTGTGAATTTTTTTTTTCTCCCTCTGCACAGTAATTACACAAACAGAAAATGGTATAAAAGTACATCAAAATTAATGGTAAGTAGTTCTACCTTCTTTTGATGCTTTATGTTTATGAATAAAATTAGAAGTTAAAAGAGAAAAACAAAAGAAAAGAGAGGAAAACAATACAAAGGTAAATTGAAATGTTTGTTTCTTAACAATTAAAGCCCTCATTCAGATCAGATGGTTCTTAAAGCTTTCACAAATTCCTGAAGTTACTGAGGTTCCAAGCTTCAGTGGGGAAGCACTGTCTTACTTGCAAGGATTGATTGATGGATTTACCATAAGCGATGCCTTGGAAGTTAAAAATATAGAGAAAGTGACAAACCATGATGTGAAAGCAGTGGAATACTTCTTGAAACAGAAATGCCAATCACATCCAGAGATTGCGAAGGTTTGAACTTGTCCTCCAGTTTCTTCGATACTAAAATGACCAGCTTTAGTACATTAACAATCTTGCCCATGCATTGATGCTGAAAGAAGCTTTGAACACTGTCATATTTCCAGTCATGGATGAGGTAATTAAGGCAGTTTGTGACATGGCTAAAGCTAATGCTCATGTTCCCATGTTTTCTCGCACTCATGGGCAGGTAGATGAATTTTTTATTTTAAAAAATAATAGATATATAGATGTTGCACTGCAATTCATGAGAGAGAGACTGCTCCATCTGATTAGTACCCTTCATACATTGGATCATCGAGAATATGCATAATCACTTAAAAATAACTAAATATGATGACTAAAAGGAAGAAGTGGAGTTGATGGAAAAATTACAACTGATTGGAGGAAAATGGTTTATTTACTTCAACTCAAATTGTTGGGGTATATGCTTTGTTGAGTAAAGTTGTATACTTAACCTGCCTGGCATATGGTGGCGCATGCAATTGTGTTTGAACAATGGTTTTAGAGCTAATAGAGTCATCAATAGATCACTCATTTGGTTTATTATTTTGTAGCCAGCTTCACCTACCACCCTTGGAAAGGAAATTGCAATTTTTGCTGTCAGATTAAGCAGGGAAAGGCTGGATATTTCTCAAGTTGAGATAATGGGGAAGTTTGCTGGTGCAGTTAGAAATTACAATGCACATCTTGTTGCATAACTTGATATTAAATGGCCTCAAATTGCAGAGGAGTTCGTGAAATCTCTTGGATTAAGTTTCAATCCCTATGTGACTCAGGTGTCTGTTCCATGCTCGAAATTTCTTCTCACTTCAGTTTTTATTAGATTTCTCTATAATTTTTTGCAGGCCAGAATAATTCCTAGAAATTTTATCTACACGTGTTAAGTTAGCAATCTGCAACCACATTTTAATGGCTCCTTTTGATATGCTCTCTGTTCTTTGTTGACTTGTAGAGACCAACCATCCACTACCGCGGCTGCTCTATGTATCAAAGCTAGAGAAGTCGGTAGTCTTTATTATCTATTAGTTACTCATTAGTGGACTCTCTTTCCAATTTTTTACATCCAGTCCTTGCTCCTTATTGTTTTTAGCAAATGCTTTCATAATTTAACCATGTGTTGTAGGTTAGTTGCTGCTCCAGATTATCAATGTGATAATTTGAACCACTGCTCTAATAATATTTTTTACAAACAGAATGATTATTTAGGGATATTTTTTAATGAAATTTACAGAACATTTGAACCACTGCTCCAGATTTTGCTAGTTGTTAGAATTTTTCTCATCTAATTTTAGTGGTGGTGATACAATGAGACATGCTTTCTGTTTTGGAAGTGAATATTTATTTTTGTACGTTATGTGCAGCGTGACTTAACTGATTCAACAGTTCTGAGGAATATGGGTGAAGGTTTAGGGCATTCTCTTCTTGCGTACAGAAGTGCATTACAGGGAATATCAAAGCTGCAGGTAAAAAGTTAAATTGAAAAACATTGCTGCATAATTACTAACTACTTTTCACCTTGTCAACGGTAAAGGTGTAGTAGTAATTATCTGCTTATTATAGGTTGTTTTCTTATGAAAATATTATGTCACACATTATTACTCTGATATTATTAATATGATGAAATTAGCATTTGCTATTTGACTTTTATCAGGCTGCATTCTCCATTGCCCTTGCCATTGTTTACTTCCCTTTTATTATTTGACTTTTTTGTTGAACTAATTTTGCCATAGGTTAATGAAGCTTCTTTGTTTGAAGACTTGAATGAGTCATGGGAGGTGCTTGCGGAACCAATACAGACTGTATGTTCCTTTCTTCTAGTTTACATATCATATTCAATCTGAATTTTTTTTGGCCCTCTCTACAGATTTGAAGAATTAATATTGTGACTGCTAAAGAAAATCTTTTAACTGAATGCCATCAACAGCTCATATTGAATGCTAGTGACAGTGATTGACTGATTTTATTTTATCTTTCCTTCTCGACACTTGTTTGAATGAAATAAACCATTCTATGATTTTACTTCATAGGTTGATATTCATCCTATGCCATATATTACTATGGATCACTCTGTGTTTAATGGGACAGTTAAATATCTTCAGAGAGCCTTATATGTAGTTTGGGTTAATTACACTTTTCACCCCTATCGTTTAATCCAAATTTCAGTTTAGTCCCTATTGTTTTAATTTCAACGATTTGTTTTTAAGTCCAGTTTCAATTTGGCCATTCCGTTTAAATTTTTGTTAATTTTGTCTATATGTATATCTTAGAAAATGTTGCAAAAATTGTTAGTTTTAACATCCAATTTAGACGTGTGACCAAATTGAAACTACATTAAAAGTGTAGGAGTCAAATTGTTCAATTTGAAATTATAGAGACTAAAGCTAAATTTGAATCAAAATATAAGGGTGAAAAGTGTGATTAACCCATATAGTTTTATAGTGAGAGCACAAATTTGCTGAGAGCTGATGCATAAATGGTTACTAACAAGTACTAGCTGCGGAGGATGATCCCATTCTTTAGAGTGCAGGTGTTTGTGTTTGATGATCCACAATTCGGCCCTAGAAATTGGCTTGGGCTTGACATCACTGTAATAAATGATTACCTTTGAAGGTGATATCTATCTACTAGTCTGACAAACATATTACATAATAATATATTTATTAACATTCAAGAAACCCTAGCTAAAAAGTTACCAATGCTAAAATAAATTCCAAATATAAAATATTATCAATATTAATTATTAAATTCTATGTCTTCAATCATTTTTTTTTTTGCTCCCCATTCGTCCCATCCAGGTACTGTTTGTCATCTATGGAAAGTAGACATACCTGGTGGATGTATGTCATCATGTTCATGTCTAATGCATTTGATTATTTTATGGGTTATTTATATGGAGACCTCCTAAACTATTGAAGAATATCACTTTGACCCCATAAATTACAAAAGAGTACAAATGAGCTCTTTAAACTATTGAGAAGTATCACCTTGACCTCCTTTACTATAAAAGCGTACAAATGAATCCTCAAACTATTGTTGTGTTTCACTTTGACACCTTCCGCTTCTATACCGTGAATTAAATCAAACTTTTTACATTTTTGAGACAAAAATATCCTTCAACACTCTATATAACACACCCAGTAGCACTTCCTCTAAATTTTCCTCGAATCCAACTCCCTAAACCTCTTCATCTCCATAATTCACCAAACACTAAAAAAATAACATCCAGTAGTAACACAAGGCTCAAACAAGAAGGAAATCACATCCAGTAGTAACACAAGCTCAAACAAGAAGGAAATCACATCCAGTAGTAACACAAGCTCAAACAAGAAGGAAATCACATCCAGTAGTAACACAAGCTCAAACAAGAAGGAAATCACATCCAGTAGTAACACAAGCTCAAACAAGAAGGAAATCACATCCAGTAGTAACACAAGCTCAAACAAGAAGGAAATCACATCCAGTAGTAACACAAGCTCAAACAAGAAGGAAATCACATCCAGTAGTAACACAAGCTCAAACAAGAAGGAAATCACATCCAGTAGTAACACAAGCTCAAACAAGAAGGAAATCACATCCAGTAGTAACACAAGCTCAAACAAGAAGGAAATCACATCCAGTAGTAACACAAGCTCAAACAAGAAGGAAATCACATCCAGTAGTAACACAAGCTCAAACAAGAAGGAAATCACATCCAGTAGTAACACAAGCTCAAACAAGAAGGAAATCACATCCAGTAGTAACACAAGCTCAAACAAGAAGGAAATCACATCCAGTAGTAACACAAGCTCAAACAAGAAGGAAATCACATCCAGTAGTAACACAAGCTCAAACAAGAAGGAAATCACATCCAGTAGTAACACAAGCTCAAACAAGAAGGAAATCACATCCAGTAGTAACACAAGCTCAAACAAGAAGGAAATCACATCCAGTAGTAACACAAGCTCAAACAAGAAGGAAATCACATCCAGTAGTAACACAAGCTCAAACAAGAAGGAAATCACATCCAGTAGTAACACAAGCTCAAACAAGAAGGAAATCACATCCAGTAGTAACACAAGCTCAAACAAGAAGGAAATCACATCCAGTAGTAACACAAGCTCAAACAAGAAGGAAATCACATCCAGTAGTAACACAAGCTCAAACAAGAAGGAAATCACATCCAGTAGCTAACAACCACAAAACTTGGGTGATATGTCCTGCTACTGTGGCATGAGAGCTCTTTTGAAAACTGCGTTCAAGAGAATAATCCTGGAAGGAGATTTTTGAGATGCATGAACTTCAAGGTAAATATTCATCAAACTAATTAATATATATATTTGTATTATGAGTTTTTTT